TATTATTAAGATTTTACTGAGGTCGGTTTTGAAATGATCTTTTGAAAACCTGAGCCATTAAAAACGACTGAAACAATGCCCCGAAATGACCGACCTACTTGCGCACACCCGACCAGCCTCTCTCTCTTCCTTTGTCACGTGAACTCGCTCGGTCGCCCGCAGGGCATGCCAGATGCGCAGCATCATAGCAGTTTTCAGATAGCAGGAACGGTCGCTGACAGGCTGCTTCTCCCGTGCCCCATTAGCCAGGTAATATACAGATCAAGCAGAATCATTTTGTTGTGCATTAAAATATCTCATTCAGCAGCACCAAACACGCATTTTGCCGACTGGTCACCAGATAAACTAGTTGTCTCCTTGTAAGATGCCAATTTACCTTTTATATTTTGTATCCATATTTTTTATCTTAAGTGTATACATTAGTCTATTTTATTGCATGATGTATACCCACAGTTTTTAGATATTTTTATAATTTTATTTACCTATTCCATATTATATGTTTCATGTTGCACGATTGTACCATAAAAAATCCTAGTTTGTGAACTCCTTCACTAACAATGGCAATAAACCTGATTCTGATTCTGAAAGTTTTACACTGTAGCCCAAGTCAATGACAGATAACGTGAGGACGACCACATAGGCTACAAATAATTTTGGTAGAGTTTGCAATTGCAAATACGGAAGAGGATTAGGGCTACTGAAAAAAAAAAAAAAATAAGTTAACTGATTTTTAAATTTTATTTCAGTTTAGTATGGGAAAAAAGTCAGAATGCTGACTTTAATCTCATAATTCTAACTTTTTTCTCATAATTCTGACTTTTTGCTGAGAATTCTGACTTTTTGCTCAGTATTCTGACTTTAATCTCAGAATTCTGACAATAAAAAAGTCAGAATTCTGACTTTTTTCCCATGTTAAACTGAAATAAAATTTAAAAATCAGTTAACTTTTTTTTTCAGTGGCCCTAATCCTTCCATACAAATCTATGTGTTAAGACAAACGTTTTCGGTTGTATAGGTTTTGTTAGGCAACATAAATTAACACATTTTGGTCTCTTTATTGTCTTAATTGTATATTGATTTAGTAATTGCAGCACAATGCCAAAAAAGGAGGGTTAATCTTATTGAAAAATCTTAAAAGCTGTTCACATTTTATTTTTAAGTGGTTTGTGCAGCAGGTATTAAAATAGCTATTATTTTGTAGGCTACCATAAGTCATATCCACGTGACAAGACTTCCAGTCATGTTGCCCTAATAGCCCATTATTTAAACTAATGTGGCATATTTGTTAAAGCTATTATTATTATTATTATTATTATTATTATTATTATTATTATTATTATTATTATTATTATTATCATCATTATTATTGTCATGATGGTTATTATTAATATATTGTAGCCAGTCACAGCAGGGAAGCTCTATACCATCAACATATAACAGGACAGGAGATGAGGAAGAGTTCAGGGAAGACACAGAGACAGAAAAAGACCAGGATGAGGGAGAACAGCAGGATGAGGGAAAACAGGGAGATGAGCCAGATGAAAGAAGTATGCTTTAGTCTGTTCTGTTGGTGATGTGACTTTTTTCCATTGAAAACTCACGTTTAGAGAATGTTACAAATAAAAGTCAAATTTCATTCAACATGCGTTTATTTTTTTTTATAATTAAGTGTTACACGTGCGCTAAAAAGTGCCCCCCCCCCCCCCCCCTCCTGAGCACCTGCCCCCCAAAATGTCTGTGCATGCCTCTGGCTGTAAGCATCAACATTTCTGATTCTTAGCCACAGCCAACTAAAAAAGAAAATGTGAGGGTTTCCTTTTTATCGATATTTAGTTGATATTACTGTTTTCATTTTTTTGTTTTTATTTTTACAATTTTGATATAATAACTGATCTAAGTGGGTTGTTCTGTGGGGAAAGGCACATTTTACATTTATATTATATTTTAGAGTCTCTATTCTCCAGTTAATGATGAATCACTTACTCAATTAGTTGACGATTATTGAAATAATCAATTAATATGATTCATTTTTTTCAGCCCCAGATGAAATACATGAAATGTGCGACACAGAGTAACTACAGCCCAGATGTTCAACTTTTATAGTGAAGTTAATACTTTAATGAATGTATTATTTTGCTTGATACAGAGAGAGCATAGTAGGTAAAAATATAAGAGTGGGGTTTAACTCTGCACAATTCTATATCTTCAAAAGAAAATACTGTATTTACCTTCTCTCTTAGTCGTTCAAATGAAACCGTTTTTAAAGTGGAAAACAGTCCTAATTCCACATTCATCAGAGCCGGTGATACTTCAAACATTGATAAACAGCATCTAATGAGTGTAGTGCTTATAACATTTTTATTAATGGAGCAAAATGTTGCTTTTCTCTTTTAACAATGAATTCCTCTTATCAGTACGGATGCTCACATCGAGCATAAAAAAGGGCATGCATATTGCATAGCACCAATGACACCAGACCAATAGTGTCCCCACCAAAGTTCAAATCAAACCTACGCCCTTGGGTGCAGCTATCTGTGTTCAGAGTGTTTTCATTCTGCTCCCGTGTCCCTCCTCTTGGTGTAACATCATCCATTCTGTCGCTTTGAGACATCTGATTTGCCGACGCATTTCCCTGCGTACCAAGTAGCTAAATGGTTGAAGGAGAGACACACAGCAGCACTCAGTGATTATTAACCAACAGCTACTTTGATCTTTAAGTAAAAGTTAGGAGACGGGTTGGTTAAAAACATCAAACCACTGAAAAATATGTTTGTTTGACATACAGAGCTTTTTCAGCTAAAACTGGCAACAAATTGTAAGTTTATACAAGTTAGTATTATAATGCAAGAAGCTTGAGAAAACATAGTTTGTTTTTCTTTACTAGTTAAAAAAATCTGGACTTCTCAGAGGACCATGACTCCCAGTTAAAGGTTCAAATTAATATGTTTTGTTATTGTACAGACATAATCAGACTACAGAGCTCCCACATATCTTGAAATTCATCATTATTTTGGTAAAGAGGTTCAGAAATCTTTTTAAACGGAGCACAGAGAGAAAGCAGATTTAAAGGTGAAACAGATTTACTGGGATATGCAACATGCAATAAAATATATCTCCAAGTTTACCAGAACGTTTACAAGAAAAAAAACATGCTAAGCTATATTTAAACTGAAGCACACCCATATTTTTCTGGATGGATGGAATTGAGATTGTACTTCTAGGAATGCATGATACAGGTGCTGGTCATAAAATTAGAATATCATGAAAAAGTAGATTGATTTCAGTAATTCCATTTAAAAAGTGAAACTTGTATATTATATTCATACATTACATACAAACTCATATATTTCAGATGTTTATTTTGTTTAATTTTGATGATTACAAATGACAACAAATGAAAATCTCAAATTCATCATATCAGAAAATTAGAATATTACTGAAGACCAATAAAAACAAAGGATTTATAGAAATGTTGGCCAACTGAAAAGTATGAACATGAAAAGTATGAGCATGTACAGCACTCAGTATTTAGTTGGGCCTCCTTTGGCCTGTATTACTGCAGCAATGCGGCGTGGCATGGAGTCGATCAGTCTGTGGCACTGCTCAGGTGTTATGATAGCCCAGGTTGCTCTAATAGTGGCTTTTAGCTCTTCTGAATTGTTGGGTCTGGTGTATTGCATCTTCTTCTTCACAATACCCCATAGATTTTCTATGGGGTTAAGGTCAGGAGAGTTTGCTGGCCAATTAAGAACAGGGATACCATGGTCCTTCAACCAGGTACTGGTAGCTTTGGCACTGTGTGCAGGTGCCAAGTCCTGTTGGAAAATGAAATCTGCATCTCCAAAAAGTTGGTCAGCTGCAGGAAGCATGAAGTGCTCTAAAACTTCCTGGTATGTGGCTGCGTTGACCCTGGACCTCAGAAAACACAATGGACCAACACCAGCAGATGACATGGCACCCCAAACCATCACTGACTGTGGAAACTTTACACTGGACTTCAAGCAACGTGGATGAAGTGCCTCTCTTCTTTTCCTCCAGACTCTGGGACCTTGATTTCCAAAGGAAATGCAAAATTTACTTTCATCAGAGAACATGACTTTGGACCACTCACCAGCAGTCCAGTCCTGTTTCTCTTTAGCCCAGGCAAGACGCTTCTGACGCTGTCTGTGGTTCAAGAGTGGCTTGACACAAGGAATGCGACAGCAGAAACCCATGTCTTTCATACGTCTGTGTGTGGTGGTTCTTGAAGCACTCACTCCAGCTGCAGTCCACTCTTTGTGAATCTCCCCCACATTTTTGTTCTTTTCAGTTGGCCAACATTTCTATAAATCCTTTGTTTTTATTGGTCTTCAGTAATATTCTAATTTTCTGATATGATGAATTTGAGATTTTCATTTGTTGTCATTTGTAATCATCAAAATTAAACAAAATAAACATCTGAAATATATGAGTTTGTATGTAATGTATGAATATAATATACAAGTTTCACTTTTTAAATGGAATTACTGAAATCAATCTACTTTTTCATGATATTCTAATTTTATGACCAGCACCTGTATATGTTTGAGCTCATTTTTGGAAAACACAAAAACCTAGTGAAGGCGTCCGGGTGGGGTAACTGTAGGAAAATCCGCCCCCCTTAGAGTGTCCCCACCAACTTTCATCACAAGGTTACACCTTTGATTAAAAGAAAGAGGCCCCAACAGATTTTGCCCTGGGCCGCGTTAAACGCTGATCTGCCCCTGGTAGCAGTCTTCAAGCTGCAGCGCAGATGTGATTTTTTTTATTTTTTTATCTTTTTCTGCTTTTTGCATGTACCTCTTTCTTAACAGCTAATTTTTTTTTTTTTTTTGCTTTAAATCTTAAATAATAACCAATCAACCCAGAGTTAGTACATCCCAGCATTTTATTTTTTTTTCTTCTTTTTCTTCAAAGCTTCAACTTCAGGTGAGAAGATTCAGATTTAAAGGTGAAAAACTTTAGTGGTTCTGAATGGATGTACTTTGACCAGACTGTTATAGCAATGAATTTTATGGTTGGTGTAACTAGACTGTTTAAAGGTTAACACTGAACCTAAAGATGAGTTCAAAGGGTTTCTGCAAAGGTTTAAAACCACCGGTCGGACACCAGCTTTGATCTTCGATCATCTGAAGGAGTTTAGAGGAGATACTTTATACAGTAAGGTGCGCAGGAATTGTTTTGTGGTAAATTAAACTTTTTAACGAAGTTGTATCCTGTTACGCCTGTTAGCCAACACATAAATATCCAGACTATTAGCTAGATGGAAAAGGGGGGGAAAAACTGTTTTTCACGTTGTTCTACAGTCCGAATCAATGTTATATCGTCTTTTTTTTTTTAAACAAAAACCTGATTAATCCGATTAATATTTTCGTTAACCTGCTAGCTAAATAAACAGCCCAGCTCAGGCTAGCTTGAACAGAACTTTTAGCCTTTTAAGCCATTTCTTTCATGATTGTATGGTATACTTAGGCCACTGTGACTCTATTTTATTTATATATTATATTCTCCTCCCTATGGCAACACTATTATTGGCTCTAATGAGTTATCTCCTGCACAGCCTGGTTCTGTTTAGCTTTGCTTAAAGGCTGCAGTGCTAGCAACGATGTTACCTAGCAGAGCTGCTAGAGATCACATAACAATTAATGTCACTAAAAGTGCTGTAAATGATCATCTGATTGTGAACTTTTATTGTCTGACGTTAAAAAAAGTCTCCAAAGAAGAATCCAAGAGGACTGCTTCTAAAGACACCTTAATACAAAAGAGAAAACTAATAAAGTGTATTAAATAAAATAAATAAAATCCTAAATGACCCTGTAATCTTTACAATAGTTAGATACAATAGTTAGATTAGGATTGTCAAATCTGTTTTATACATTTAGGTGGAGGTAATCTGGCTATGTACAAGTAAACCAGAATATATTGTCATTTATTGCTTGAGAAGAGGATTATTTTTGTTGTGATGCTTTTAGGCTGGTTATTACTGTGTAGTTGAAAGGCTTGCCAGTTTTACTATTCATGGTGCCAAGGTATGGAAAAGGCATCTGTGGGTTGAGCGGCAGTGATTGTGATTTGCTTAGATGATTTGTTAGGTCAATTATCAATGAAGATGTGTGAGTTTATTAGAGCTTGGAATTGGCTGCCTGTTGCATGTCTGAACTGATTAGAACAGTTCCTCTGTCTAGATATATAATAATCAGTTGTATGTGGCAAAGATTTGGAAATGGAATGAGAGCAGAGTCCTTCAGCTAAGTGTAATATTTTTATAAGGCTGGAGCCTTGGATGTCTAATCATCTGCTAATGTGCATGATGTAAAATATGATGATGTGTCACTCTGGAGGTGTATATAAATGCCTTTTTAATTGTTAATCGGAGCCACTTCCTGAGAAGTGAGCCCAGAGGTGAGCAGCTGCCTTCTGTACATTCTAAGAAATTTCTCTGATCTGAGTAAAATTACAATTCTATCAGAATCTGTTGTCATGTCTCCTGGTTATTTAATACATATAAGTTATGAAGTGTTATTTAAAGGTTTTGTCCCGAGTGATCTCTTTTCAGGGAAAAGAACCAGAGAGATCAGGGTGCATACATCTTTAACAGATTGAAGTTTGGAGAAATTGAAGTTTAATCTAAGTGTATTCAAAGCTGTTAGGTTTCATCTGCTTAAATCAGGGTTTCCTGCAACTATATGTGTCCTTGGTCCAACACATTTAAATCAAGTAAATGGATGATTGAGAGGACTATGAAGTTGAGTTGACTGCATACTGATGAGGTCATGACATTTGATTTAGATGAGTTGGATCTAATCTAGAAGTTGCATGATACTGGTCCTTATTAACTGGAATTACTCACACAAATACTGGCTTAAACAGACCAGAGTTCATTTACTCTCCTTGGTACAGACTTATCTGCAGGTGTGAATACATTTAAGTGAGTCGTGTTTTGGAGCGATTTTCTGCTTCCCTGGTGCGGTTCGCTCCTGGTCTAAAAATGAACAGGCCTCGATCCGACCCAATTACAGAGTTAAACTTATGTTTGGACTTTACAAGCCATCATAGCAGTAAACATCATGCTGAAATCATTCCTGATCTTTTTTCTGATCGACTTCTGCCCGCGTGCAGCGAGTCTCCTGCTGTATTCTTCGATAGTGTTTCCAAATTAGCAATAAAACATCTGCACAGAATTAGCTGCTCTTCGCTCTCTCTGTAATTTTGCATCTCTAATAAAAGCGGAAATGTGCCAAAGATAGGTGCTGCATAAAAGAACATGTAAGTTTTCCTCCAGCATGTGCTCTGTCTCATCTGAGTTATTTCTGTCCAGTGAGAGCAACAATCGTAACATGTTAGGCTTTGCTATAAATTATAGCTCACTTACAAAAAGAACAGCATAAAGGTAAAACAAAACAAGCAGAAAACATCAAGTTTTCTTTTTTTTTTTTTTAAGATCAAACAAGTTGATCAAATATCTTTCCTGGTGTAAATACAAAATAAGTCTCAGTAGTGTGTTGGCACCTCCTCCTCCTCGTGCTGCTTCAAGGCCTTATTTACTTATCTTTTTTTTTTTCACTTTTCGTATAACAGACAATAGCATGACCAAATGTTTTAATGAATTATATAATTTCCTGCTTATTTTCTTTCCAGATTTTACAAAAAAAGGTCAAGTGTACTCATATTTAAAATACCCTTTAAAGGCATCACTATTTAACAGAAAACTGTTGCAATGTGTTAAAAATATACATCATTTTTTGATAAAACTTTGGAAGTGAAGGGTTAATATTCTAAAACGGCTGCTTTCGCTGGTAAAATGTGTAACTGTGTCATACTTCTCTTTTCTGTTTCCTTTAGTTCCCTGATCATGCAGCCTTTGATCCGCCGGTACCGTCCGTCAGATAAAGACACAGTGCGGCGCTTGTTCAGCGCTGGCCTCATGGAGCACATCGGCCCATGTTTTCAGAATGCTATGACCAGCCCTCTGTGCTTCACTATCACCCTGTCTATAGGGTTGGTTAGTTACCTCCTTGGCTCTTTGATTATAGCTTTGCTGCTGCTAGCAGCCTGGGTGATATTCATCTACTGCTGCTGCCATCATGTATATGCTGGGTATATCACCAAGAGACTCCAGACAGACATGCAAGACATCGTCGGGAACTACCTAAGCGGACCAGATGACTGTTTCTGGGTGGCAGAGGCGGAGGTCGATGGAGCGGCACAGGTTATAGGGATGGTGGCTGCGAAGTGTATAGCGAATGGGAATGAGAAATATGGTGAAATGTTCAGAATGAGTATCTCACCAAAGTGCAGAGGGATGGGACTGGGCCGCAGGATGACTCAGATTGTGATTGATTTCTGTAAGGAGCGAGGCTTCTCCAAAGTATTGCTGGAGACCAGCTCCACCCAGGTGGCTGCTGTGACTCTGTACAAGAAGCTGGGCTTTAAAGTTTTCTTCTCACACAAAGATGCACACATACCTTCGTGTCTGCTTTCCTTGGTCCAAGTCGAAATTTTGAAAATGGAAAAGAAATTATGAAGCTCCATTTTGTGCCTTTATATCTCTTGAACTCAGCTGTTTTATTTGTTGACTTTTTAGCATTAAACACTCTTTACGCTAAGCCCTAACAACAGGATTTTGGTTGATCAGGGGCCCAATGGTAAAACAGGACTGTATGACACTGTGATCGAAAGGAAAATCATAACAGTAGTTAATATTTTGGGGTGTGAGGAGATACAATTCCAATATTGGACACAAAAACTGTATCTGTGTGGAGAAAATAAGTGTTTTTTGCATTTTGTTTTACATAAAGGAGAGGATTTTTTAAATCATTTTTTAGTCTGTTGATGCATCCATGTCATGTTTTCGTTCATAGATGTTTATCATGTTGGCGAATACTATTGTAATGATTACAGATGGTTATTTCAGATTAAATAAAAGTATAAGTTCTTGTTATCAGTTAAAGTCATTATGTAAACACTTAAATGATTAAGCCATAACAATCCTAAGAGTTTATTTCACTCCACCTATTGAAAATTTGATTTTTAAATGTTCCTGTGATTGTTTCTTTGACATTTTTTTTTCTCCACAAAATAAAGATGGTGCATTTTTATATGAATTAATGCTTCTTTTTTTTGTTAACATTATTTTAATAATGTCAGAAATACTTGCAATCAATTCAATTAAACACCTCCATTCAACATTGGTCGCTCTACCTGTTCCGCCCCGAAACTAAAGTTTATAACGTTCCTTTGAAATTATTGCTCAATTAAAATTTAATTCAGCAAACAATTCCATGCAAGTTATTAAAAAAAGAAGATATTAAAAGGGTTGCACCACTTGGTTTTAATCTTAGCAACTAGCGTCATTCCATTTCTGACAAGTTTCCGATGTTTCAGCTTTGAGCAATATTGACTGATGCTATTATAAGCACAAATCGTTATTTACTTTTATTACTTATGTTGTAAAGTAAAACATTAGAAAAGCCTTGATCAAGTGACATTACTCAAACAGAGAATAATAGACAAAATAGGTAAAACAACCGAACCATTTATTATTATTCACAAAAGTTAATCAGAAGTACGGTGTTTCTATCAGCATGCAAATATCGGAGATTTTAAATTAGTTTTTTTGGCTGATATCGGTTTGATATCAGATGTCGGACCAGGACATCCCTTTTATTAACAGTTGGAGCTGCTTGTGATAAGTCATGTGAGTTTTTCTTTAAATAAGAGACACATTTCAGAAAATTAAACATTGATTCTAAAGATTTTAATAAGTTTTTATATCAAATTTGTGTTTTTGGAGAATTTGACATGAAGGTTCTCTGGGGTAGGGATGGGCAGTTATAAATATCATTTGGTCAGAAATGATTAAATAACAAGATTGGAGATCCTCATTCAAATAGCATGTATTAATCATTGAGATGGAGAACAGATACAGTCTGTCTGACAATGTTCTGGTCAGACAAATGATTTTACTTCTTAACGCTGAAGTAAAAAGCTGGGAGGGTTAATAAAGAAAAGAAGGCAAGGAGGAGTAGGTGGAAAACTATTTTTTTCCAAAAATAGAAAGTTGTTGTCATTAAAATAAACCACATTATGATGTTAGCAAAACCTAAAAACTAAAGGTTTTCCGCAGATCAGAGGTTCCCAAACTTTTCAGCTTCTGACCCACAAAATGGGACCAAAGTCGCATGACTCATGACCCAAATTATTGGTTAGATATACATACGTCTTCAATTAACTATGGGTTTAAAGATAACATCAACAAAGAATTCAATTCAATTCAGTTTATTTCTATATTCACAATACATGTCATTCAAGGCACTTTACAGTTCATCCGGATCATACAGTCAGATTGATTCAAAGTTTTCTAAGGAAAACCAGTTGATTGCATTGACTCATTGACTCAAATGCAATCCCTCACACTAAGCATGCTTGTAGCGATAGTGGAGAGCAAAAACTCCATTTTAACAGGAAAAACCTCCAGCAGAACCAGGCAAGAAGCTGGTTTTATCGATTTTAAGTGAGGTTTTTATACGTTTAGGCACTTTAACATTAATGGCTATTATTAAGTTTAATTTCTGTAGACGATCTCAACACCCAAAGTGTACAGTAGCTTGACTCTAACTTTGGGAGTCAGTACCTTACAGGTGCTGGTCATAAAATTAGAATATCATGAAAAAGTAGATTGATTTCAGTAATTCCATTTAAAAAGTGAAACTTGTATATTATATTCATACATTACATACTGTACAAACTCATATATTTCAGATGTTTATTTTGTTTAATTTTGATGATTACAAATGACAACAAATGAAAATCTCAAATTCATCATATCAGAAAATTAGAATATTGTGAAAAGGTTCAAAATTGATGGCCCCTGGTGCCACACTCTAATCAGCTAATTAACTCAAACCACCTGCAAAAGCCTTTAAATGGTCTTTCAGTCTAGTTCTATAGGCTACACAATCATGGGGAAGACTGCTGACTTGACAGTTGTCCAAAAGACGACCATCGACACCTTGCACAAGGAGGGCAAGACACAAAAGGTCATCGCTAAAGAGGCTGGCTGTTCACAGAGCTCAGTGTCCAAGCACATTAATAGAGAGGCGAAGGGAAGGAAAAGATGTGGTCGAAAAAAGTGTACAAGCAAGAGAGATAACCACACCCTGGAGAGGGTTGTGAAACAAAACCCATTCAAAAATGTGGGGGAGATTCACAAAGAGTGGACTGCAGCTGGAGTGAGTGCTTCAAGAACCACCACACACAGACGTATGAAAGACATGGGTTTCTGCTGTCGCATTCCTTGTGTCAAGCCACTCTTGAACCACAGACAGCGTCAGAAGCGTCTTGCCTGGGCTAAAGAGAAACAGGACTGGACTGCTGGTGAGTGGTCCAAAGTCATGTTCTCTGATGAATAGGGATGGGAATCGAAAACCGGTTCCTGTTAAGAACCGGTTCCGTATTTTCCGATTCCATGGCATCGTTTGGCAGCTCACTGAACGATTCTTTTTTCGATTCCCGCAGCACCAGAGCCTAGAGCGCCGGCTCTGGGGAGCACGACTTACGTCACGTTTTTTACGTAAGTTACGTAAGTTACGCAAGTTACGCAAGTTGGAAGAACTATTCGCGGAGGAAGACAACGAGCTGCGGTCACTTTGTGAATCAAAGCCCCGTCTTTCCTTAGCCCAGAGGGTAGATCAGGAAATCCAGCTCTATAAAAGCTTGCCCTCCATCCCCTGCAGGGATAGCGCCACACTGTGGTGGTGGAACAAGCAAGATGTGCTGCCCTTGCTATCTGACTGGCTGAAAACTACCTCTGTGTGCAGGCTTCCTCCACCCCATCTGAGAGGGTGTTCTCCACGGCTGGAGACACCATAAGCCCTGAAAGATCCTGTATCCTTCCAGAAAAAGCAGATATGCTCATCTTTCTGCAAAAGAACTGTTAATTTTCCCTACTACTGTTTTATAATTAGTATTTTTTGTTATTTAAAATAGGTTATTATCCCATCATTTGTTATTAGACATTGTTGGTTATTAAGTTTGTTCTTGTATATTTATTTTTCATTTAAACACAGATGTTACTCCAGTTTCACATTTCCTGTGGACATCTTGATCTTGTTGAGTTTGTAAGATTGTGCAATAGTTAAGTAAACAAAGTTGATTCTGATAATCAAACTGTTTGTTCTCCTTTTTCCCCCAAATTGGAATCGAAAAAAGAATCGATAAAGAATCGAATCGTTTCATAGAATCGAAAAGGGAATCGGAATCGTGAAAATCTTTTCAATTCCCAACCCTACTGATGAAAGTAAATTTTGCATTTCCTTTGGAAATCAAGGTCCCAGAGTCTGGAGGAAAAGAAGAGAGGCACTTCATCCACGTTGCTTGAAGTCCAGTGTAAAGTTTCCACAGTCAGTGATGGTTTGGGGTGCCATGTCATCTGCTGGTGTTGGTCCATTGTGTTTTCTGAGGTCCAGGGTCAACGCAGCCACATACCAGGAAGTTTTAGAGCACTTCATGCTTCCTGCAGCTGACCAACTTTTTGGAGATGCAGATTTCATTTTCCAACAGGACTTGGCACCTGCACACAGTGCCAAAGCTACCAGTACCTGGTTGAAGGACCATGGTATCCCTGTTCTTAATTGGCCAGCAAACTCTCCTGACCTTAACCCCATAGAAAATCTATGGGGTATTGTGAATAAGAAGATGCAATACACCAGACCCAACAATTCAGAAGAGCTAAAAGCCACTATTAGAGCAACCTGGGCTATCATAACACCTGAGCAGTGCCACAGACTGATCGACTCCATGCCACGCCGCATTGCTGCAGTAATACAGGCCAAAGGAGGCCCAACTAAATACTGAGTGCTGTACATGCTCATACTTTTCATGTTCATACTTTTCAGTTGGCCAACATTTCTATAAATCCTTTGTTTTTATTGGTCTTCAGTAATATTCTAATTTTCTGATATGATGAATTTGAGATTTTCATTTGTTGTCATTTGTAATCATCAAAATTAAACAAAATAAACATCTGAAATATATGAGTTTGTATGTAATGTATGAATATAATATACAAGTTTCACTTTTTAAATGGAATTACTGAAATCAATCTACTTTTTCATGATATTCTAATTTTATGACCAGCACCTGTAGATTGCTGCTTTTCTTTGTTTACTGTTAATTTTTCTTTGCTGTTTTTTTAAACGTTACCTTTACTGTATCTTTGATTGTTAGCAAAGGTGTTTTTCCATGAAATTGTATTGTTACTGTTTATGGTTTCATGACAGCTTTAATGAAACCAGTAATATCCTTAGAAAGGCAATCCCAGCAATACCTTATTTTGTCAAAAACTGACCAGTTTATTGCTGCATTTATTTCTAACTCTTGAAGTCCTCAAGAGTAAACAGAAACTTACCATTTGTTTGATTAACTATTTTGCTCATGTTGGCTGCATAGCCTCAAATGTTATCCTTATTTCATAATGACTCCATTTCTGTGATTGCCATCTTGCTCCTCCTTCTTCAAGGTTTCTTCCTCCTCCACAAATCCTCCTCCCCTTTTCTACAAGGTTGACCTCGTTGTATTCAGTCTTGTAGTTAAAGTATGCACCTCTTTCCAGTCCTAGCCCACTGGTTTATACATTTATGTAAAGTAGAAGGTTCATGTTATTCAACCATAAGTGGCTGTGAAGTTGAGGCTTGGCATTGGTTGCAACTAATAGTTCACCAACCTCTCTTCACCTGTAACATAAGGTTCACCTGAGAAAATGTATTTATTTATACATGGAATACATTCTCATGGAAACACAATCAAGAAAATATCTTTAAAATCAATGTAGAACAACATGTTCAGTAATTTGGTGTGCAATTACATAAAAATGAAATGTAATTGTTGTATGGAAAGTGAGTATTCAGGCTGTATAGTATAATTTATATTGAAAGACGTGATATA